AAATTGTTTTCTTGGCGTTTATAACTTTTGCGTCTTGCGCTTTGTTGGCAAGGTTGTAAATGTCACGCAAAGCCACAAAGTTTGATATGGCATGGCCTTAAGAATTAAAAACAATACTGGATCCACCATTTTAATTTTAAAAATCTAACTTCAAATTCATAACAGTCGATTTCAAAAACCCCTAAATACGGAGTTTTATGTAAATGCATTTTTTTTAAGTCGACCCTCATTGACTTCATATTCGTAATCAGCCATCACAAAAAACCCGTGGATATCTACCAAGATTAAAGTAAATCCGTATATATTTATATGTAAAATTTTGTCGGAGACATAAAGTCCCCCACGATTTTTGAGATTAAAAGATCCTGACGTGATGGTGCAAACCGTTCTTATGAAAAATTATTATTCTGTGATTAATTAAGTAATCAGATGTCGATTAGCCAGCTTGTTAGATTAATTTAATAATTGCCCATCCCTTCATTAAATGCTTTTAAAATTAAAATTTTTATGAAAATTCCAATTTATAAAGCTCTTTAATTCTTTGTAGCTAAAAGTAGCTAGGTTTTGAAATTAAAAAAAAAAAAAAACATTACGAAAAATGTTTCGTATCATTTCCTGAAGACACTACTCGTGTTAGAATCTTCTTATTACAGATTATAATTTCCTTATAACGACGAATTTACTTATTATATTTTTTTACCAATAAATACCGGTTATTTTTTGTGAAATTATTTCGAATAAAAAGGTTTGTCGTACATATATTTTTTAGCATATTTAAAGTCGTCGAAATATATATTTTTTTTCTTTTTTATGTATGTATTTCACCGAATAATTTTGGACCACGCGTGGCCACGTGAATCGATCATTGGATCATGAAGCAACTAACGGTACTCCTAAATTTTTATATGAGCACTGAATTAGGTATGAAAATTAATCACTCGTGGTTTTTAAGGTTTGCTCAAGAATCTTTAAGCTCTTCTCCGGTTCGTTCAGATATTATTCGGGGTTCTTTGTGTATTTTTTGGAACCTCTAGGAACTTAAGAAATTCTTTCTGGGATTTTCTGGATTTTTTCGTGATCTTTCGGTATTCTTCGTGTTTTATTTGTTGGGATCTTTCGCAATTATTTTTAAGGAATATCTCCAACGGACAACTAAGAATTTTCGCACTCGACTCTCAATGCTGCTTAAATTAGCAACTTGTACTCAGTGATGCCAAAACGTGGGAATTTTTCCCTTTTGTGTTGGTTTTTAATAAAAAGGTAGCTAAACGGGCAAAAGGTACTTTTAAACAAGGATAAAATTGTGTTTTAACAAAAAATTATTTGGTGAACTAATTTAGAAATTATGTTAGGCCATCAGAGTATTCATATCTACATATGTATATGTATTTTACTATCTGTCTAAAAGCAATAAAGTTAGAGGGTGGGAAAAATGAGGGATCTTCCTTTTCGATAATTTTGTCTAATTTATGGCATCACTGCTCCTAATCGTGTAGCAGGATCGTTAACTAGTTCTCCGATTTTTCACAAAATTTCTTTGTTCTAAATAAAATTGCATTCAATATTTAAGCTCTTACATACGGTATGTACAATAGGGTGCCTCACCAAAAAAGCTACGGTTTTTTCATCGGAATTATAAATTTGATTTGATTTTAAGACTTCCTCCAAAATATTTCTGGAAAATATTAAGATTTGCGTAAGCTGGGCTGATTTGAAAAATATCTCTAAAAATCTCATTTGATTCCGTTGATAAAATTTTTAAATATTTTAATGCAGACCTTTTAACTTAAGCTCTTCTATCATCCAATGTGTTTTATGGGAAAAAAATATTTTAAAAAATAATATTCTTTATAAAAAACTTGATTTTTGGTGGTATTTTCCAATCGGTCCAGCCAAGGCCGCATTTAGGGGCGGGGGAAGGGGTTGTAGGTGTTCTGACCCCTCCCCCCGCCGAAATGTAGAAATGTCGGATTTTAGGGCCCTAAAAAATTAAAAAAAACGCAAAATCAGCTTTGAAAAAAGGCAAAAGAGTAAAATATTTTTTTAATTTTGTTGTGTACTTCCTTTATGTACAATGTGCATGTCCAATTAAAGATATTAAAAAATACATACAGTGGTCAAAAAATTATAGCCGAACCACTTTTTGCCAAGTTTTAACGTGTTATTTTCGTTGTTATTTAATTTTGGTAAATTTTTTTTCTATGAAAATATAGTTAATTCTTTAACAAAACCCGTGTAAATCCAAGTTTCCAAATTTGTGCAATATTAAAAAATCAACAAACCTTCGTACAAGTTTCGAGGTATTTTAAAAATTCTAAAAACTCAATCGCAGTTTTTAGCCATTTGAAACTTGTACTTTATTCTACTACAACTGCGTACTTAGAATCTTATTAAAAAAGTAGAAATTTTAACGAAAATTTGTTGAATTTTTTTTAAATTGCATACATTTTTAAGGCAGTGTCACTCGATTGGTACGTTTGTACAGATTAGGACATGTTTATTTTGGGCTATTGGTACAAAATAAAAAAATGGGAATTTTTCTTTATAGTCAAGGGATTGGTACAATACAGCGATGTTCTATTGAAAAATTTCAACAAACTAATTTTCGTGATTGGGATAAAGAAAAATAGTTGGGATACGATTTGCACCAAATTTTGGCAAATACCCAACCGTGTGACACTGCCTTTACACTTGTATTTAGACGGATGTTGTTAAAGAATGAACTATAAAAAACTAACCAAAATTAAATAACAAGAAAAATAATATTTTAAAACTTGTGAAAATTTGGTGCGGCTATAATTTTTTCGACTACTGTACATTAGACTGCATCGCCACAAAAAAAGTTGCGGTTTTTCCGGCGGGATTACCAAACCTAGCATATTTTAAGACTTCGATCAAAATATTTCGGAGAAATATTAAGATTTTCGTGAGCTGGACCGGTTCGAAAATACCTCTAAAAATGTAGTTTTTTATGAATAAAAATAGTTTCTTAAAGGATTTTTTTTGAAAAAATCCCCCCAGATTACTAAACAGTTTAAGCTTAAACAGTTTGCATAGAAATGTTAAATAAAAATTTTCCACGGAATCATAATAATGAGATTTTTGATGCTGTTTTTTAACTATTTTCAAAGATTATTGTAAGAAAAACTTGAATAACTGCTTTACCGATATAGACTTATAAGGTATCAGTGGAGAGGTATTTTCGCACCCTTTTTATTTTGTATTTGGAGTGATGCAGTCTACTGTACATAAGTTAACTATGATTACTGGGCCGTGCTGTCATAGTAGCACAATGCCACTAAGTGCATTTTAAAATTTTCAGTTTGTGTGTTGTACCTTCGGCCCTGGTCCAGCTGGCGTTAATCTTACTATTTTTCTGAAAGAACTTAACGGTAGCTTCAAATTATAATAGATTTTATAATTCCGATGGGAAAAAAGTACGTTTTTTGTTTGTTTTTGTACGAAGAGTGTTCGATATCGTAACCCAATTTTGACCATCTAATGGCCTTAATATGCTTCGATTTTCTTCATTCCCGTAGCCAAAAATAATATTTATCCAAAAAAAAATTTGGATTTGCATTGTGGCCAATGGTAACCATCAGTTACCACCTCGGCATGGCTGTGAGTTGCGCAAAGTCTGCAAAGAACTCCGGTTGTCCGGCGGATGCGGCAGACTACGCTGAGTATCGGTAATGTATTTACGATAAATTTATGTATAGGCGGCTATTTCCAACGGTAACTAAGTATGTACACCACCTCCGTACGATGAAAGTAATACAGAGCCCCGACGGCTGGTAGGGCTGGTTTTTTTCCTTTTATAAACTCCAGATTTTACGGGGGATTTGTCAAGCTAGAGTGAGCTTGATTTGAGGTGCCGTCAACATATTACTTGAATAAGCCCCGTTATCGGACACTTGAGAAGTGTATATGCAAAAATTTCATAAACTACGAAGCGAAAATGTTTGCACATGCAGCTGTGCCCTTTGTATGCGGGTTTATGGAAGATGTACGTTAGGCTGGAGTGAAATCGTTAAAAAAAAATTTTTAATTTTTTTTTGGTATAATTAAGATTTTTACTTTAATGGAACATTTTAATTACCCAGGATTAGCGAAATAAAAAAAAATCGCTCCACCTTAATGTAAATAGTATGCATTTAGGCTGCTAAGCACATTATTTTACAATAAAATTAGTCATAGTTAGTGAGAGGGCTCTTTTTAGTATTAAACAATCTGAGGAATAATTTAAAGAAGATTGCTAAATCTACATATATTAACAGCAACTTACAAGTACTTTTTAACTGAATATGCAATATGAAATTACAACTTTTTTACAACTATGTATGTATGTACTTACTTATGTATGTATTTGTTTAAAAATATTTTTATGAACACTCACTGAATACTATGGAAATCTTTACAAAAACTAAGTACATATTTTATATCTCAGATGTGTTTTAAATTAACAAACTTGATATATCAATTTGTAGAATGAACGAATGTATGAAATGTCTTATACGCACACAATTAGTTACAAGACCGACTAGGATGGATACGAAAAATGATTTGAAAAGAATGTACCAGTATGTATTAGTAGTAGTTACAAATATGTAAGTATGTAGTAGTTGGAAATAAATTTTGTCATTTAAAATTTAAAAAAAAAAAACCAATACTAAATGAACCAAACATAACACAAATGCAACTATCTTTACAAACTAACAGATAAAGAAAAACAAATATTAATTGAACGCCTAACTTAAATTACGATTGGAAATATTTTGTTAGGCAAATACAAATATATAAGAATATATTATATACTTGTATATGTATTTTTTTTTGTCTTTGTATAAATATATATATATATATATATATATATATAAATACCTATATATATATGTATATATATATATATTTGTTTTGTTTCAAGGCTAATCTCAATTGTATACTAGCGTACATACATACATTTCTAAGACAACTAATCAATAGGAACTCGCTGAACTTACCTGTTATAGAGCAAAGCAGGCGTAGTGTTGGTGTATTGCCGGAATATTGATTTATCATACCCTGACTATGTGCTTTCGGTGCGGGCATACTCAACGTGATGGCCTTATGGAATTTACGACGTCGTGGCTCAACTGTTACAATTGGTGAAACGGCCACACCACGACCAAGTAGTTTAGCAGTTAGATCTGGATCGACAGGTTGTGCCTAGAATGAGGTAAACACAAGAAATGGTCGGTACATTTTTGTGATTACCATTTATAGAGTTTTTTTTTGTTTGTTTGTTATACGTACGAATTTTTCAATGTTTTTTTTTTTGTTTGCTTTGTTTTTCTTTTCTTTTTGTAGTACTCTTTTTAGATACTTATGTATGTATATAGTATATACAAATGATTGTTTCAACATGAACATGGCCACTTACAACTAAAGTAAATACAAGGAAAAGCGTATTGAAGCTACAAAGGTATGCGTTTGCTTAACTATTGTAATTGGAAAAAAAATATTTTTGCAAAATTTTTATTTATTTTTTTTATTTTTACAAATCGGGTGATTTACGTTATAAGTTGTTTAATAATGTAATTTATGTTATATTATTTTTATGTTACATGTGAATTGCTGGGAAAGTCCTAATTAAAGTTGAAACTTTCTGTGAGTTTATTGGTTTATGGCATACACTGTGAAAAATACGTAATGCCGTGAGCAGTGGCCATCTTGGATGAATATTCAAAACCATTAGCTCATTGGAAAGTATGTAGCAAATCTTTTGAGCTGAAGAAGCGCAAGTTGAGGTGTGGCTTTGCCAGTTTAAAAAATGAAGATTGGTTAATCGCCGTAATGTAGGCTGCATTCTAGGTAAAGACTCGCAGCTCGTTACACTCTTTAAAGCATACATTTTGCTGGATTTCGTTTAATTAGAATCTCTATACTAACAAATGTTCAGGCCCATTAGCTTCCCAATAAATTTAGTTATCAAATAAACTTTAAGCGCTTAAATTTCAATAACATTACGTGTATTTAGAGGGCCGTTGAAAAATCACTTGGTATATATAGTAAAACACTACAGGCATACGCATATACAAAACTCTAGGTTTCCGCACATTCGAGGCACACTAATCCAGACCCAATTGCAACATAAACTACATATGTATATATTTACTATAGGCATTTATATATGCTTGTATGATGTATGTACATATACATATATGTATTCAACTAAATATCTTTACTAAATATTTATGACTTTATCTTACAAATTCACTGCCAACCTTTTGAATACTGAAGACAAAAGAGTTAAAGAAGCAGTGAAATGTCTACTAATTGAATGAAAAAAAAAAAAACATTTTCATTTAAAGTTTATGTTCGAACTAAATTTATTGGGTATTTTTCGTTTATCCATTAAGTATAACTTTTTTATATAGTAGCTAAATATTAGATAAATCAGTAAATAAGCAAAAGTAGTGCATACATGTGTTGATATAAATTTAGGTATGTACTTTGCATTGTATATATGCAGTAGAATATAATTTATTTAAATCTTAAAAGTTTTAATGTCGCCATTTATTTGACGCTTATAAATAGTTTTGACGAGTATTAAGGTTTTGTAATTTTTTCTTACATTGCATTCTTAAATTTCCAACTAACATAGCATGCTATGAATGGTATTGTAAGTTTTTATTGATTTTTGTTTATAACTCCTTTTATTATTGTATTGTTAAGGTTAGGTAAAGATATTCATATTTTCTATTCATTAATAACTATATGTGTATGTATGTGTATTAGACCGTACCACCTTAAAGCAAACAAAGGAAGTTCACCATACAACCCTGAGCCTAAAATAAATTGAAAAGGCAATTTCGAAAAAAATAAATAATTTTTTTTTTGGCCGCACGTAGCGTTTGCCTTTTTCCGTTTTTCGTCATATCTTCAGCATTTAGAATCCGATCTTAAAGTATGATTTATCGATGTTCTTATCTCGAGGAGACGATTTTTTTCTACCGTTTCTACCATCCTAATGTCAGTTAATTTCAGCTCGCCAAAAATCATTAAACTTTATTAAGGAAGTACTTCGATTCGAAGGCGATTTCGGTTTTTTTTTTTGGCCGAAAGTAGTGAGTTTTCAGTCGATTCTTATGATGTTTTTGTATCGAGAAGAAAAGTTTTTTTCCCCAAAGTTCATTGACCTCAGGTACACCATTCTAGCACTTACCCATCTAATCTTAGTTCCTATCACTCTAACCGAACCACCCTATTGTCAATAAATTAAAGCTAACCAAAAATCATTAAACTTTTTCTAAGGGCATATTTCGATTGTTCCAGTAGACCTTTTTAAATTTGTTTTTTGCCGAACTTGCTTGCTTGTAAGGTGGTAAGGTCTAATGTACATACAGGCTGTTTCATCAAGATGCTCGAAATTATAGTGTAATCCTGTATATTAACTATTTTGAAAAATCCAAAGGATTAAAAAATTCAAATTCCAAGCAATTTTCACAAAGATAAGTTTTTCAAAAGTATACTATGACATGCGCAATTAAAGATTCTTCTAGTCTAGAGTGGATTTCGGAGGTCAGAAGAACTTCTTGCGCTTACAAATCTGCAGCTCTGACTGTTGGTTGGAGATTTTACAGGTCAGTGTATGATTGGCATTCACATAGTATGGCTGGTAATCTTTTCTACTCCTGTCGCAATTGGCAAGAGGGTAATGAGCTGCAATCACCTCAGCACATTCTCTTAGGCTTTCCAGTCATCGCGAGGCTAAGGTTGAAATATTTTGCCTCGCACTTCCTATCTAACAATCGAGGTCGAAGGTTGGCGTGAGAGCATGAGAATGCCGGACTTGGTGAATGTTCACACAAATGGTCTGAAGATGAACAAGGGTGCAGGCGCGGCTGTATTTTGCGCGGAGCTGGGTATTTGTTAGTCCTATCAGCTGAAGCGCTACTGTAACATTCTCCAGTAATTGTTTAGTTGTTGTTTTACTAGTACAAGTCTCATAAGACAAGAGTTTTATTGAAAGTCGTGTTATGCGCACATTCATACATACATATGTATTAAAATAGGATTTAAGGTGTACATTCCCTGCGACTAGCCTTGACAGAACTGTACAGCCAACTTAAATATTTTGTCCTACCGCCGAGTACAGCTAACCTATTAATTGTGTTTTAACATTTATATATGTGCGTCAATATGTTTTGTCCGACACTATATCTATGTGTGTACATATAAAGTACATATCTACATATATATTAATTTTTGATTATCATGTTATCTTGATGGGGTTAGTGATTCCTGCCAACATAATGCAAAATTTTAATAATAATAACTAGTAGTAAACTAAGGTTTTGATATTCTTAAGTTTTTTTATGGAAACCTACACTTTTTTATCTGTAACATTTTTTATTTAAAGTATGTATGTCTATCTTTTACTAAATAAATTTGCAATTTTCCAACTTCTGTATAGCGTCTCATTACCCAACCTGATATTTAGCGAACTTCATGTCAATAAGTTCAAAACTTCTACTTGTTTCATTCATCCCAAAATTCGAAATTATTTGTTTGACGCCATAATTAATTTTCTCAGCATTGCTTTTTGTTTGTGCCAGAATCAATCTATCCATATTTTGGAGAAAAAATGCTCCAAAGACGTATGCAGCGTCTGACTAAACTAACTACCCGAAACAGGTTTTTATGTTAGGATTAATCTTGATGCTGGGCGTAGGGAAGCCCCTATGGTTGACAGCCGAGCCCACAGTACTTAGTAATCTTCTGATTTGGAAACTTTACAAAATAGAACTAGAAACTTTTAAGTCCGAAATCAAGAAAACAAAGAGGTTTTCCT